TTTGAATTTGAGGTTTTTTGGGTTTGAATCCATTGTTTCGACATGTGCTGTGTTCCAATTCCAATCAGGTTCGTTATATTCACTTACCTGCAAATATCCTTGAGAAAGGAATGAATTCTAGTTTTCTCCTCCAGCTATGGGTTAATTAGTTGGACTTGTATCAGTAAATAATTTTTATCTTCCAAAATTCTTAGAATCTAAAAATATTTTTTGACTTTATCATCATCAGACCTTCGACTACATCAATCATCGGGGGAAAACAGACTTTGGTTTTTTCTTCACAAGATCCTCTCACTGGACTTTCAGATAGCTTACTGGCACCCATCTCCTTTCTGAGCGCTTGACCAACAACTGTAGGCAACAGAATATGGTTTGGGTCGGCTTCAGTTCATACACTAGACCCTCAAGTTTTGAATTCAGAGTTGTTGTTCTCCTAGACTGGTTGCAACCCAAGGCTATAGGATACAGTATGTCTTGCTTTTTATCCACAGTGAATGTAATGAACTCAGTTGGAATTCAAATTCAGCTCTCTGATTGCTCAATATGAGCCACTAACCATTACTACATAGTGCCTCCATCATGCCTTTGGTTTCATACTGCTTCCCCATCTTTTGAACAGGAGTACAGGTTTATCACTGGTTTCTTGTTTAGGATTGGGTTTCCAGTTCCTTCTAAAATCATTTCATACTCTTTAACTCCCAGTAGTGCCTTGCGTCTTAGTGGCATTATCACCTTGCTTGGGGTGAAATGATTAAAAATAAAAGAAATAACCTACAAAAGGATGATAAATTGTAAAAACAAATCAAATCAAATCACATCAAGAAAGTATTTCATATATTAAGAATTGACATTTATTCTTAATTAGTTATCTAATGTTCCTGTAATCAATGTACAGTATTAAAAACACAGAAACAAATTGATATATAAACGATGGTAACATTCTTCATGTGCAAAGAACAGAAATTAAGTGAAGCAAGGAGTTGAGAGACAGAAAATGTGATTCAGTGTGAAAATCAAGATGTCAAGGAGAATTTGTCTGAAAATTATTTTTTTTCAGATTTTTTTTTGCATGAAAAGATTTCACTGCTGCTTAGCTGCCAACGCTCAGGAGACTACCCTGAAGAGTGTTTAAATAAAGAATTACCTTGTTTTTTTTTTTTCTTGTTATTTTTTTTAAAACTTTTTTGTCTCAAAAGCTTCACTAATGAGAGTGTGTGTTTCTTCAATGTTCACTACATCAAGTTAGCACCCAAAGGTAAAGAAGACATTGCCACACACTTCAAAGAATGTAAGAAAAGAGACAGCAGTATGTTGGAAGATTAAACATGATTAACCAATGAACAGGTCTGCTAGAATGAAAAGAAAAAGCTTGGAGCAAAGAGAAAGAATGTATCTAAGAAGAAAATAAAGACGAATAGAAAAGAAATAAGAATAGGAAAGATTAGGAGCAACATTTGTTACAATGGCTGACAAGCTGTTCTCATGCACCAATTCCGTGATGTAGTGATTTTCAATCTATGATAGTTTTGTGCTGCAATAAGCCATGCTTACTAAATACAGCATGTCCCAGAAGTCACCTAGGGATTTAAAAATCATGTAATTTCAACATTTTTTTTTATTATTCAAAAATAGTTTTATGCAGTATGAAAATTCAAACACTGAAAATATATTCCTGTTTAATAATAAAAAAATTATACAATATAAATATATTCCATTTTCAACTTAACATAGACATGTTCTTTCTATAGCATTATCCATAATAGTGATTAATAGCTCTGCCTGCAGCTCTTAAATTTCTGAGTTGCTGAATTCTTTGTGGTTTATTTTTATTTATTTATTTTTTTTAAATCATTCCACCCCAAGCAAGGAAAATAAAGCCACTAAGGGGTTACTGAGTGCAAAAGAAAATGAGAAAAAGGAAAACACTATTAAGGAGAGAGAACAATAAAAGAGCAAGAATTAAGAAGACAGAAGATAACTATTGTGGATTCCGTGAATGGAAACCTGCATAAATAAATAAACAATGCCAGTAATTGAGATAGAAAAATAAGTGTATTAAACATAAGAATACAGACTTGAAGTGAAGATTAGTAGTCCAGGAATGCGGGTTAGTAAAATGTATATGTACAAGTCTCTGTAAGTAAAGCCGTAATCATCTCTCTCTCCGGACTCTTGTATAACTCTCTGAGAACACCCTGTGTCTGTCTCCGTATCTCTTAACCTATCTCAACGTATCTCCACGTATCTCAACGTATCTCAACAGCAAGTATTCTCTCTGTCAGTATAAGTATACTTTAGACAAGTCCATCGTATGTAAAAAGGGGAGAGCCCCACAACAATAACGATCAACATTGCATTTAAATTTTTGAAGATCAAAGTTGACTGGAAAGCAAGAACATGGAAGAAAGTTCAACAAGCAAGAAGTGCGAGAGAAGAAACTGCTAGCAAAGAACTTACAATTACATCTAGCAATTTCAACTGTAAGATGACGAGATCTTGCTACCAAGCTAAAACTTCACTTAAATTTATAAAGTCTAGGTACCAAAAAGTAAAGCCATGAAAATATTTATAGAAAAGGTACATGGAAGTTACATTATGATAGAGGGAGAAAATGACTTTGGATTTTATCAAGAATCTCTAAATATTTATTTTACTCCAAGTAAGGCAATAAAGCCACTATGACACTAGGAGTTGCTGAGAGTGAATTAAACTGAGAAAACATTGCTGAGAAGAAATGATAATAAAAAGAACAGGATTCAAGGAAAAAGAAGATTACAATTAATGTCGCATTTAAATTTTTGAAGACTGTAGTTAAGTGGAAAGCAAGAAGCTGGAGGATTATTCCACAGGTAAGAAGTGTGAGAGAAGGAACTATTAGAATAGAACTTACTAGCAATTTCAAATGTAAAATAATGAGACCTAACTGACAATCTAGTACTGCCCTTAAATTTGTCAGGTCAACTGATGCATGAATTGGAGAGCTGAGTTCAAATTCCACTTGAATCTATTGCATTCATTTACATGCTAATACCATTGGGAAAGGTATGAATCCTCTTCTTCTCCCCCATCCAGCTATGGGTAAATAGAGCAGATTCTATAGCCTTGGATGGCAAGTGGTCTAATGCAGAAAAAAATGGTAACCATTATGGAAAAAAATATGCCTCGTCAGTCATATATTGAAAGGATCCATGATTGCCTAAGCACGTATCACACATGGCACATAACTTATTACTTATTTATGCTAGTTACAGTACCCACAAAGAAAATAATTAGGCGTTATCAAACCAGAAGAATGTAGTGGCCATAAAATTTGTTAAAATTATCTGGTGATCAAAAATTTGGTTAAAATTCAAATTAAATTTAAATTATTTTAATTCTTTGTTCAGTGGATAATTTTCTGATGTTAATCTAACTCAGCCATTGGCAAACTGTAATCCCTGGGCTACTTTCTATAAGCGGCCTGATCAGCTTTCCAAATGGCATGCCTCATTTCATGAAGTAAATAACATTTATTTAAATTTTGTTTGTTTCATTTTATTCTCACCTGCTCACTGGCATTCTGTCATACATAACTACATCCATAACAGCAACTGAAAACAATGTTTCTTGAAATTTTGTAATGTTGTTATAAAGGTTATGCTTTCATTATTGCAAACCATTGATGATTTTCACTAAGGAAAATCATACAATCATCTTTTGCCTTAGAAACAGGAAATGCTCGTAATAATTTATTTTCTCAAGAGAATAATGTATATTTTTCTTTTAAAAATATTTTGTATAGTCAAATGAAGAAATTAGAAGCAAATCAAAGGTAACAGGATGTTAATCACACTGTCATCAATGATTATATTATAACAAGAAATATTTATGATTTTATAAAGAAGCAAAATCGAAAAAGGGAGAAAAAGAAGATGAAAGAGAGAGGGAAATAAGAAAAAGTTAAAGAGGAGAAAGATATGAGAGATAAATAGGGGAAGATAAAGAGATAAGAAGAAAGAAGAGAGATTGAAGAAAAAAATGAAAGAGAGACAATGAGATAGAGATAGAAGAAAAGCCGAAATAGAAAGAAAGCAAAGAAGAGAGAGAAACAGAAAGAAAACAAAAATAGGCAGAAAGAGAGATGAGGAAGAGAGACAGACGGAAAATGAAGAAAGAGAAGATAAGAAAAAGATAAAGGAAATTAAAGAAATATTGAGAAAAAAAAAATGAGAGAGAGATGGAGAAAAAAGAAACAGAGATAAGGAAAAAGAGAAGATAAGAAAGAGATAGAAGGAAAAGGGGAGAGATGAGCTAAGAGAGAGAGAGAGAGAAAAAGAAAAAGAAAGCATAGATGCAAGAGGGAAAGAGGAGAAAATAGAGAGAAAAAGATGATGAGAGGGAAATAGAGAGAAACAAAGAAAAAGTGAGAAAACGTAGGTGAAAAAAATAAATAAAAAGAGAATGAGGAGGTGAGTTAGAGAAGAGAGAGATGAGAAAAGAAAATAAAAAAAATGGAAAAAATGCAGAAGGAGAAGAAGAAGAAAATGTAAATGAAGAATAGACCATAGGAGAAAGAAAGTGAATGCAAGAGTAAATGAAAGACAGAAGTGAAAGTGGGGGGGAAAAGAAAGAAAGAAAGAAAGAAAGAAGTATGTAATGAGGAAATGAGAAATAGTAAATAAAGACGTGAAACATATTCTACGAGAGGGAGAGAAAGTAGGAATGAATAGAAGACAAGACAAGAAAAACAGTTAGCGAGGAAGTAGTGGTTAAGAAAAAAACAAACAAAAAAAGTAAAATATATATACAAATCTTGAGAAACAAATTAAGTTTTCACTCCTTTCTTCACTGCAAAAACCTTTTATGATATTTTGTTCCCATTAATGTTACTTTGTTCAAATAATTCTCAAATTAAATGCAATTTAACAAAAAAGAAAATCTGCTATACAAAAATTAAAAAAGGGGCCATTTTGTTTTTGTTTTTTCTAAACCCAATAGTCGAAGATATGTGAAATTGACAAATGTCTCTTCCATCTTTGTTTGAAAGCAGTTTAATGCAAAGAAATGTTGACAGATATGGACGGATGGGTGAGTATTGGGTGGGAAAATAAAAAGCAGAATTAGACAAATATATCTGATATACTTGCTTGAGTTAACAAACAAAGACATCGTCATTTTTCCCTCTTTCTCAACTGCCACACCCCATCTTGTTTTTAGACATTATTTGCATTCTTTATGTTGCAGGCAGTCCATTCTGTTCAAAATTTGGAATTATGGCTATCCAAAGAAGATAAATGAAAAATATTCAATAATGATAGAATTCACACTGAATTAGCATCACATTCAACTGTCATATATATATATATATATATATATATATATATATATAAGAAATGGCTGCTATAAATAAATAAAATTAATATATATATATATATATATATATTTTAGGCAGCATATCTTCATTCAGACATGTTTCATTGAATAATATAGACATATTATGTCTACTTATTTTTATACTGATCCATTCTAGTTGTTTAATCAGTTTCTTGATGTTAAGATTAAATTCATCAAAGAAGGCACCATAGTTTTGTTAACCCAAGTACTTTTGATCTTTTCCAAGATCATCTTCAGGGGTAAATAACAAAGACAAAATTATTATCTGTTCAAAATTTGAATTCTGCATTTTATTGTGATGTTGATTTTTAAAAAACATGTGCGAACAGACACTATAATTATTTTAAATTTTTAAATTTATCCATTGTAGCTGTGGAATTTGTTTTGTAAAACAAGCATTTCGATGTAAGAGAGCTGACTGGAAATTGGTAAAAACATAAAATGGCAATTAAACTGTCTCCCCTGCTTGTTCAGATGGGTTCTGCCCAAGTAGCACAATTTAAGCAACTTGTTTTTCCCTAGTGGAAAAACAATTTTTTTATGTTTGGTGAATTCTGGTCAGAGTAATTCAGGAGTGAACAGACATTCTGCTGCCTATGATAATTTAACAATAGGCATTATTATATCAATGGTATAGTAACACCTTAATACATAGAGGGAACAAAATAACTGAAAGAAATGAATGACAAACATGCATTTTATCAAGGAGATATTTTATACCTATAGATACATACATTTCACTAATTTGTCCCACACTGAGAAACTATAACATATGCATACAACAACCATTGTGAAAGGGATGAAGAGAGGGTCTTACTTTTAATATTTCCCATAGGAAAAAGGGCAGGTCGGTGGTGTCCTTTATGTTCTTCTGTTTATCCTACTGCTGTGGGTTTGTGATGCCTAGCTTCTCTATGGCCTACATAGCAAATGTCATTCAACACTTTGAACTGAGATCCCCCACTGGCTGTCACATGACTTTGTCTCAACCAAATGAAAATAATCACCCTCTACATCCTTTCAGTGTTTTTGAAACAATTAATTTCATAAAATCTTTCTTATCCTTCACCATAAAAAATCTGTCTAAAAAAAAGAACATACAATTTCCAGCAGTAAAGAAAATAATACTACCTTGATAAAAGTTCTGTGCAAAGTCCAATAGATTTTAATAAGGATTTTTGAACTGTTGCTTTTCTTTCGTTTAATAGAGGTTTTTCAGATTCATTTTTGTGAATATTTATCAAACACTAAACAGGCCAATTATTAATTATTTAATCTCTTTTTGCACTGAATTTAAACAAGGAGTAATCATCCGAAAATCTTATTCATGCATTAACACATATTCTCAGCATTTTCTGATTGAATTTTTAATCTTAGTCATTCTCACAAGACACATTGTTACCTTTTCTGAATGGTTTGAAACTCTTCCTTGTAAATGCTTTCCATTTGAACAAAGCCCAAATGACTTGTAAGAGCACTCAACATGGAAATCACAGACTCTTACAAAATAGATGAAATATTCTGTTTATTCACAATTTATTGGTATCAATGTTATAATTCTTTTCTCTTTTGTACCTTCTCTTAAATCAAACAGTTTAAGTGGCTAATGAATTCTTCTTCTCACTTGCTGTTCAGACTCATCCCCCCCACTTCCCATTGTTTCTTTACTTATTAATTTTCTTTTGCACAAAATACAAACTTGATTTAACATTCTTTTAGGCTTGACATCTTCTACAGTTCACCTTTGACTTTTGCAAAATCTCTCAAGAATTAATTCTAAATCTTTTCACAGTATATTTTTTAATCCTAGAACAAAGATCAACTTTACCTCATCTTTAATCTTTTTTAAGCTTCCAGCATTTTATCTATCTATCTATCTATCTATCTATCTATCTATCTATCTATCTATCTATCTATTCAGAACTATTGAGGTAGAAAGTTCCTTTTATTCATTTTTATTTCTCTCCAAGCAAGCTTCATCTTTTCAAATTCTCAGCTAAGAAAGAATTTTCTATCTATCTATCTATCTATCTATCTATCTATCTATCTATCTATAACTGTCTATTGATATCTATCTGTTTGTCTCTATCTGTTCAGAACAATTGAGGTAAAAAGTTCCTTTTATTCATTTTTATTTCTCTCCAAGCAAGCTTCATCTTTTCAAATTCTCAGCTAAGAAAGAATTTTCTATCTATCTATCTATCTATCTATCTATCTATCTATCTATCTATCTATCTATTTCAGTCTGTTCATTATCTATCTATCTATCTATCTATCTATCTATCTGTTGTAGATTGTAGAAACAGTATCTCTGCTTATAAGACTTGATAATGGCATGACTTGTAGAAACAGTGCCTCTGCTTACAAGATTTGATAATGGTATAAGAGTTTGGGATATATAGCTAGCTAAAAAGTGTGGTAATGGTATGGACTGTAGAAAAACAATATGAATTCATAAGACTTCAAAATGTATAAAATGTTGGCTACAAGTTCTGGTAATAGTATGGGGCTTTGGATAAGATTCTTTGCCTACAAGGTTCATCTTGGCAACTAAAATAGAATAAACACTGAATCAAGGATAAAGAAATGTCAAAGTGACATAGATTATCTTTTGGTTAAGTGATTGTGATAATAGAATTGTGTTCACTTTTATCCCTTAAGTGGTAGGACTCCGACATAAGATACCAAACCACCTGCTACATTTGTCTTTGTCGTGGAAGTGACTCTCATGTGTAAGAGAGTATGAAATCTCCTTGGCTTTTTCTTGGCTTTTTCTCCCTATCTTGATGAAACAGTCCAACTCATCATTAAAGTTAAAATAGTAGTAAATATCCAAGTCTGGAAACGGAGTAAACAAGAGGTCGCAGGTGACATGATGGTTATCAGCAGGAAAAACCAAATCAACAAACTCAGGTGGAACCTTAACTAAAGCTGATTATGTTCACTTCAGTCTAATGCCTTCATGAAAGGCATGAATCTACTTCTCCCTTTAAAATGTACACAGCAGTGCCCTTCTTCTCTCCAATTAATATGAGTCAGATTGCGCTCATTGTATTCACTTCACTCTAATGCTTCCATTGAAACACCAGTTCCTGTATGATCAGTGAAGTTAAGCAACATTGAGCCTGGTCAGTACCTAGATGGGTGACTGCTTCAAAATAGCATAATAATAAGCTGGGATGTGGGAGTGGTGTAATGGATAATTGGAGAGCTGAGTTCCAGTTGTGTTTGTTATATTCACTAACGTACAAATACCCTTGGGAAAGGCATGAATCCACCTATTCTCCTCCCAGCTATAGGTTGATTCATAGTACTTGTATCACATAAATAACTTGCAAAGGGTTGATAAACTATAGATAATGCATGAATCAGTCTAATGCCTTGGTGAAAGAGGCCTCCATGGCATTTCTCATATCAATGGGAGTTGCAAAGAATTATACCAAAAAACAAATAACACATCAGTTGAGGATTTTCGACAATAGCAACTTGAAGAGAAAATAATGACTTATCAATTTGTTGACATTCCACACAACTTCCAACAAAAGGTTAGGAAGGAAAGCTCTTCCCCTCCCATCAGTACTGAAAAGAGCAATAACAGGTACTGAGCTTGAGAAATCTATTTTCCTGAAAAATTGCTTTAAGAGAAAGATTTGATAAATTTAAACTGATGGTATCGCTAGTTGCTTGGTCAACAAATACTGAATGTTTCCTTATAAGGAAGTAACTAATATTATTATTAACATTACCATCATCTCCAAATAAGATATATGAGATTAAACTAGGGTTGAATTCTGACTAAATGCCCTAGTGAAAGACATGAATCCATTTCTCCCTGTACCATCTCTTCTCCGAATAACATATACGAGATTGTCCAAAATCAAAGCTTAGATAGTATATTTATATATATAAATATATACAAGAGGAGGGTGCATCAATATGTCCACAACCTGACACATAGATATTAGCTTGTTTTTAATACTATTGTTTACCCAATACAAGCCTCAAGAGCCAGTCAAGATAGAGGTTTAATGAATGAGATTTTTATAAGGGTGAAAAGAGTAGTGCATATTATGTGGATATGTAGTATAGATATCAGTTGATTCTAGGCTTGAAGAGGATAAGATTGTAGTGGTCAGGAAAGCAGCCTCTCGGGAGTTTGCTTTACAAAATTATCAAAGGAATACAAAAGGAATGAGGATGAGCTGACATAATGGATGTGACATGAGGGGTCCTAGATGTGAAGGCCTGAACTGGTGGAGCCAAGAAACATAGCTCATTTGAACATTTTCCATTATTAATAGTGATAGGGTAGTTCAGCTAGCAATGTTTCATCTGTTGGAAAGGGGCTTCAAGGTGGAACATAATTTTGATCTGAAATTTTTACTGTATAATGCATATGTGATTAAAAAATTTCACTGTATAATGCTTATGTGATTAAAATTTGATCTATGTGATTAAGCAATGAATGCCTTTAGTAAAGGCATGAGTCCACTTCTCCCTGCACATATGGAAAATAGAATTCAAATTTTGGCTGAGATTGATTATATTCATTTTGCACTAATGTCTTTGGGATAGGCATGAATCCAATAATTCCTGTACTCATGGAAAACATAATGTGTATTTTATCTGAGACTACTTTGGTACTAAAGTCTTTGAGAGTAGCTGATAAGATCCTTCTAGAGAGATTTCTTTGTCTCTATATTATATACATTCATATTTATATCTATCACTGATAAATGTGCTTTTGACAGAACCTGGGAAACAGCATCTATATATATATATATATATATGTATATATATATCTTGAATTGTTTATTATTAGATGAAACATTGTCAGTTATCTTTCTTTTTTTATTGTAGTAATAGTCTGAAGTTGCCTGAATTTCTTAGATGAAACATTGTCAATTATTATTAATTTTTAACTAGTGTTTCTTTCATGTGTTTCTCTTGCTTTTACCCCACATAGTGATAGACAAGTCATCCAAATTTCTTATGATGTGGTAATGTCAATTATTATTATTTTTTTCAGAATTATTCTTCTGTCTTATTTCTCTTACTTTTACACCTAGTTGGTAAAATCTTGTCTGGATGTTATAGATGAATCATTATCAGTTATTATTAATTTTTAACTAGTATTTTAAAACAAAACATTCTTATAATGAGGTATTGTCAATCATTATTAATTTTTAATTAGTATTTTTAAAACAAAAAATTCTTATAATGAGGTATTGTCAGTTATTATTAATTTTTAACTAGTATTTCTTTCTTGTTTTTCTTTTGCTTTTAAATAAGATTAAAAAGTTACTAGTCATTAACAGCTAATAACCTCTTGAGATACACAAAGCAATATGTACATATTGCCTTGGAGCAGCTGACAAAATATCTTGTGAGAAATTTTGAACGATGACATCACCATAATATCCTGTTGCTATTTAATCTATTATATGACTATTATATAGGAATCGATGTACCATGTTTCTGAATTGAAAATTAATTCCAAATTATGTATTAATTTGTCTTTCTTCTCTCGCACTTCTTGCTTGTGGAACTCTCTTCCACCCACTTGCTTTTCAGTCAACATTGTATCTTTCAGGATACTGTAAATAGCATATATACATCAGTTGGCATTACAAATTTAAGTGCAGTACTAGATTGGCAGCTAGGTTCATCATTTTACAGTTGAAATAGCTAGATGTAACCATAAGTTCTATCCTAATAGTTTCTTCTCTCAGATTTCACACTTCTTGCTTTCCAATCAAATTTGATCTTCAAAAATTTAAATGCATTGTCAATTATTATCTTAATTCCTCTTCTTTTATTTTCTCTCATTAATAATCTTTTTTTCTTTTATTCTTTCATACTCAGTAATCCTTTGCATCTTAGTGGCTTTATTGTCTTGTTCAAGTGAAATCATAAAAAAATAGTAATTGTTTGTTTAACAATTTTGCTAAAATATACAAATTACATTACAGATATAATCACCAGGTATGTGGAGTGACCCCATTACTGAAAATCAGTTAATATTTAAGAGATTGGAAACTTCTTTATTACTATTTATTCATTTTTTTTTTTTGTTAAAATTTTGTAAAAATTTCAATTTACTAACATTTTCTTGTTTTTATTTTCAGGTGAGTATATTATTTTCCCCAAATCCTCGTCTGGTAAGATAAATCTTTTTTTTTTAATTATTGATGTGTTGCTTTTTTTTTCAAAAATCCAAATCAGAATGAGTGAAGATTTTCAGATCTTAGGTGTTCTTTTGCAAATTCTCTTTTAGTCTGCAAAAGTTACAAGCCTGCCAAATTTAGAAGCAACCTTAACCAAAAATTCTGATTTGTGAAATTGATTTTATCTATATGGTATAACTGAATAATTAACTCTTATTATTGCTAAGGAATTTCTCTTCTTTTTCTTCTTCTTCTTCTTCTTCTTCTTTCCCTTTTTCTCTTGTTTTTCTTTTCCTTTTAGCTTATTCCTGGTTTTTTTTTAACTTTTTTTCCTTTCGTTTTCTTTTCTTTTCCTTTTTGCTTCTTTTGCTTTTTCCATCTTCTTCGTTTTCCTCTGTTTTTTTCACTTTCTCCTTCGCTCTTTCTCATCTTTGTTTTTTAACTTGTTTTTCTTTCTCTTTTTTGTTTTTCTTTTGTTTTTCTCTTTCTCTTTTGCCTTTTCATTTTGTTTTTCTCTTTTTCATTTTCTCTTCTACTTGTACCTTTTGTTTTTCACTTCTTTTTTTCTCTTTCTCTTTCTCTTTCTCATTTGCTTTTTCTCTTTAGTTTCTCACTTTTTCTTCTTTTTCTTTTTCTCTTATTTTTCTCTTCTTTTATTTTTCTCTTCTGTTTGTCTTTCTCTTTTTGCTTTTATCAGCTTTTCTTTTGTATTTTCTTCTTTTGCTTTTCTTTTCTTTTTCACTCTCTTTTCTTTTATTTTTCACTCTCTTTTCTCTCCTTTTTCACTCTCTTTTCTTTTCTTTTTCACTCTCTTTTCTTCTCTCTTTTCTTTTATTTTTCACTCTCTTTTCTCTTCTTTTTCACTCTCTTTTCTTCTCTCTTTTCTTTTATTTTTCACTCTCTTTTCTCTTCTTTTTCACTCTCTTTTCTTTTATTTTTCACTCTCTTTTCTCTCCTTTTTCACTCTCTTTTCTTTTCTTTTTCACTCTCTTTTCTTCTCTCTTTTCTTTTCTTTTTTCTTCTCTTTTCTTTTTCTTTTCTTTTTCACTCTCTTTTCTTCTCTCTTTCTTTTATTTTTCACTCTCTTTCTTTTCTTTTTTCTCTCTTTTCTTTCTTTTCACTCTCTTTTCTTCTCTTTTTCTCTTCTTTTTTTTCACTCTCTTTTCTTTTCTTTTTTACTCTCTTTTCTTCTCTCTTTTCTCTCCTTTTTCACTCTTCTTTTCCACTCTCTTTTCTTTTCTTTTTCACACTCTTTTCTTTTCTTTTTCACTCCCTTTTCTTCTCTCTTTTCTTTTCTTTTTCACTCTCTTTTCTTTTTTTTCACTCTCTTTTCTTCTTTTTTCACTCTCTTTTCTCTTCTTTTTCACTCTCTTTTCTCTTCTTTTTCACTCCCTTTTCTTCTCTCTTTTCTTTTCTTTTTCACTCTCTTTTCTTTTTTTTCACTCTCTTTTCTCTTCTTTTTCACTCTCTTTTCTCTTCTTTTTCACTCTCTTTTCTCTTCTTTTTCACTCCCTTTTCTTCTCTCTTTTCTTTTCTTTTTCACTCTCTTTTCTTTTCTTTTTCACTCTCTTTTCTTTTCTTTTTCACTCTATTTTCTTTTCTTTTTCACTCTCTTTTCTTTTCTCTTTTCTTTTCTTTTTCACTCTCTTTTCTTTTCTTTTTCATTCTCTTTTCTCTTCTTTTTCACTCTCTTTTCTTTTCTTTTTCACTCTCTTTTCTTCTCTCTTTTCTCTTCCTTTTCACTCTCTTTTCTCTTCTTTTTCACTCTTTTCTCTTCTTTTTCACTCTTTTCTCTTCTTTTCCACTCTCTTTTCTTTACTTTTTCACTCTCTTTTCTTTTCTTTTTCACTCTCTTTTCTTTTTCACTCTCTTTTCTTCTCTCTTTTCTCTTCTTTTTCACTCTCTTTTCTTCTCTCTTTTCTTTCTTTTCCTCTCTTTTTCTCTCTTTTTTTTCTTTTCACTCTCTTTTCTTTTCTTTTTCACTCTCTTTTCTTCTCTCTTTTCTCTTCTTTTTCACTCTTTTTTCTTCTCTCTTTTCTTTTTCACTCTCTATTCTCTTCTTTTTTCTTCAGTTTTTTTTTCAACTCTCATATCTTCCAACAAGCTTTTTCCAATCAGTTTCTTCCATCTTTTTACCATAATCTTACCATAATTTTCCCAAATTTCTTATTGATATTTTTTTTAGAAAATAATTTTAATTCTACCAAGTTTGCATTTCTTCAAAAAGTAAAATTAAAAAAACAAACAAGCAAATAAAGATTTAAAAATTTAATTTATTTTTACCGAAATGGACAACATAGATCTGAAATAGCTTATCAGATATTAAAATTGAAAAAAAAAAAAGCCAATATAAGCAATGAAATGTTTACTTCAGAATTACTAATAGTAAAATTGTGATGTGCAAGTGTCTACCAGTCAGAGTTTATTAGTGTAATACAAGATTTTCAATTACCCAAGCAAGTAAGGGAGTTTGCTGGCCAGAAAAAAAGCAAAATATTAAAAGAAAAAAGCAGATTTACAGTGGAATAATGGATTAGCGGATTGGATTGAAAGAGTGGAGAGCTGTGTTCAAAATTCAGTCAAGTTCATTACATTCACTTAAATGAATGCTAATACCCATGGGAAAAGTATGAATCCAACTCTTCTCCCCCTACCTATGGATAAATAGTAAGACAGACTGGGTTCTCTAGCTTTGGGTGGCAACTGGTCTAGGAGAAGGAAATCTCTGTATTCAAAATTGTATGTAGCCCTGGTGAAACATATACTATCAGCTAAGGAAAGGATTTTTTGCATTGACTTGATCATCTCGACTATGGTCAACTCCTGACCCTACAAAAGAAAGAAATCTTTATGACTGTGAACACATTCAATTCTGAAAAAAAAAATGAATTTCATTATTTCACTGCTTTTATATAATAATTCTGCTTGTTCCTTCATTAGCTTTTTAGTTTTTCTTATAATGATTTTCACTCTGTACAAGGCCCAAGAGCCACTCAAGGTAGAACATTAGAAAATAACAAGCATAATTTATATGGATATGTGGGGAAGATAATGGTTAACCCTAGACTTTAACAGGTAAATACTGTAGTGATCAGGGAAGCATCCTCTTGGGAGTTGGTGCCACAAAGCAACAATCATAGGAAGAAGCTGCACAAGGGGAACTTACATCTCACCAATGGAATGCAAAAGGAATTTGGGTGGTTTGCTACAATGTGCACTGCATATTGGGTCTTAGGCATGAAGGTTAGAACTAGTAAAAGTAAGGGAATCTAGTTCATCTGAACACTGGTCATAAAAATAGTGATGAGAGCAGTAAGAGGCTTGCAATGTCTCATCTGTAAGAAAGTGGTTGTAGCAAGGAAAATAATTCATCACTCACAAGGATGCAGTGATGTTTTTGGACTCTATTGAGAGTGGAAAGTGAAAACTGGGCAGCTTCTGCCCATATATGGCAGTGGTACTCTATTTTCGTATGGCATGTCTTAGCCATAATGGTTAGAACTGGTGAATGTATTTCATTGAAACTCTTTACATGTGATAGTTGGTTAGCATGTGTCATACCATGTGAATACCTCATAAATAATTGACTATACCATTTTAATTTGAGGAAAGACAGAAAGGGCATATCAGAGACACTGTCTGGTTTCAGTGAGAGAAAGAAAGAAAGAAAGAAAGAAAGAAAGAGAGAGAAGATACAGTAGGTGATAACACTCTCATATGTTTAACATCTGCTTCAATGAAATGTAAAAACTTGTAAATTTTTTTTAATCAATTTACCTCAAGCAAGGTGACACTGCTACTAAGATACAAAGGGATCTGGGGGTGAAAGAGAATAAGAATACTTTAAATGGAACTGGAAACCCAAAACAAGAAATAAAGAATAAACAGCTACTCCTGTTTAAAAGACTGGAGTCATTTGTACCCTCTTACTTCTTTAAATAATAACCTATATTCATATTTATGATTGTTATTGCAATATTCGTTCATGAGTTTGGTGACACACTAATTGTGAGTTCAATTACTGGGTTGGAAAGAGAGTGAGCAATAAAGGAACTGTATTAAAAAAGAACAAGACAAGATATCCCTAGACAGGGACAGTGGATGGAGATGATAACAATAAAGATGAGGATATTAGTCCAAATGTCAATAATTTAAATAATGATAATTCTTCATCCCAGAAATTCAGACAGGAATATATCAGATGATAATAAAAATAAAGATGAGGATATTAGTTCAAATGTCGACAATTTAAATAATGATAATTCTTCATGCCAGAAATTCAGACAGGAATTGATCAGATGATAATAACAATAAAGATGAAGATATTAGTCCAGTTGTTGATAATATAAACAATAACTCTTCATGCCAAAATTCAGACAGGAAGTGATCAGGTGGTAATAACAATAAAGATGAGGATATTAGTCCAAATGTCAATAATTTAAATAATGTTAACTTTCCATCCCCAAAATTCAGACAGGAAACAGTATGTTCCTGATTTGACTTTTGACAAAGAAAATATTTTGATGAGATATAAAAATAACTTATAATAAAGAAAAAGTCATAAGTTATAATATGAAGTCACAAACAGCAGATATACAATTCTTTAGAGCCACTACAAAAGAATTATTTATATATAAAAAAAACAGCAGAAAAATTCTTAAAAATCATGATGATATTTTACAAGCAATTTATTTTATTTTTAAAAGTTTTCAGTTACTAGTTTTTAGTCTGAACTGATGAGAAGCCAAAATATATGGTAGTCAGCAAAAGGAACAGCCGAACAATCAAATTACAAATTGGATATACCAAAATCAAACAAGTACAGCAATTTAAATTCAAAGATGCATTGGGATAGAGAAAGATGCCTTCCAGTAGCTACACAAGGTATTAGGAAACAAGAAAACTTCTTTAGAATTAAAGGAAAGAATATTGAACTGTTGCATAATATCAGTCCTCCTATATGGCAGTGAATGCTAGACAATCTCCTCATAGATGAAGAGGAAACTTGAAACAACAGAAATATGGTTCTACAAGAGGATGCTGAGAATACCATGGAATGAACATATGAGCAAGTTTTAGAGAAAATTGAAACTAACAGGACACTAACTTCAGAAAGATAGCTTAAATTTCTAGAGCACATGATGATGAAAGAGGTTTTAGAAAATTTGATACTCACAGGACATACTGAAGGCAAGGGGACATAGGAAAACAATGCATAACCTACCTGGTCAGATGGTGTACGTGGATGGCAGAACAGGGTTTAGGAGAGATAACAAAAAGACAAAATTTATTAAGAGCTACAAAGGGCAGGAAATCGTGGAGATCCATGATCGCTAAAGTCCTGAAGGGACACAGCAAATAGAAGAAGAAAAGACATTTCTACCAAGAATTGTAATGCTGGTGATTCGACAAGCGAGTATCATCAAAGCCATCTTCACTGTAGATTCCTGCCATTACAATAATAGTCAAGGTGATGGTAACCTTTCTGTACTTACTGTCACCATGACAACAGCTCCTATTCCTTTCTCTTGTACAATCATTATGATCTTTGGTGTCCACATGGTGTCACTTATTTTGGATGGCTATTCTCTTGTGGTCTACTTCTAAGACGCACTTAAGCTTTCTGTTCCTTGTGGTCACTTGCCAAATGATGCTTTTTCTTTAAAAGAAGATCAGTCGTAATACTCCACGGTAGTTAAAAACAAATTTCATGTTTTTCTCCGTTTTAGGTAGATCTGCTATAATCAAAGATATACATTTGCTTTTAGGTTTCTTTTGGGATCAGAAGGTGGGGGGAGGATTCTTCTGTCTTAATTTGTCTTTTGTTGACCTTCTGATTCTAACTTTTGATATTTTTGTCTATTTCTACATCATCATCTTTTTTTCCCCTTTGATTCATTCTTGCTTCATTCTTCTTTTTCTTTCATTCTACTATATTCACCTTTCCTCATTCAGCTTCTGTTTTTACTTTATCCTTCATTCAGCTTCTCTTTTTCTTATTTTTGGTTTAGTCAGCTTCTTTCATTTATCCTCTTTTTTTCATTCGACTTTTATTGTCCGTCTTTAGCCATTTTTTTCCTTTTTTCTTCTTTTTTATTCATTTATTTTTCCCTCCTTCCTTTCTTTATCTTCATTCGTCTTATTTTTCTTTTGCCTTCATTCATCCTTTTTACTTCTATTTTTCTTTTTACTTCATTCAATTTCTATTTTTATTCCACTTTTTTTCATTTATTTTCCTTCAGCTTCTATTTTGTTTCTTCGTTCATCTTTCTTCTCTCACACAACTTCTTTTTTCCTTCTTTTTTTCATCCATCTTCCTTTTTTTTATCCTATTCTTCTTTTTTTTTCATTCTTATTTCTTCTCTTTTTCTGGTTCTTTCAATCATTATTTTTCTTTCTTCATTTATCAGCATTAAGTTTCCTTTTTCTTCCTTCATTTTCATTCATCTTATTTTCTTTCTCCCATCATTTATTGTTTTTCATTTGGTTTCTATTTCTCTTCTGCATTTTATTTATTTTCATTCAGTTTCTCTTTTGTTTCTTCCTTCAATTTTCTTCATTCACCTTTTTCTTTCTTTTTTTCCATTTTCATTCCTTCATCCTGTTTTCCTTTATTTTTTTCTTCTTCTTTCATTTATCTATTTTACTTGCTTTCATTAAGCTGCTATTTTTCTTCTCTCTTCTTTCAGTTTCTTTATTGCTTTTTCATTCATTATCTCATTAATATCTTTTTTCTTCATAATATAGCTTGAGGTGGTTTCTAAAAGGTTCTCAGGCTAACAATTACCAATCTAGTCATACACTTAAATTCATGCAGTCAAGGAACCAACTGTAAACATATGAGATTGATTCAAATCTCACCTCATTTCTGTATGTTTCTTTCTTTCATCAATTTACCCTTTTGATTCTTCAAGACTTCCTCATCTTTTGGCAGTATTAGCCTCATCATTGTCAATGAATACTGGACTATCACATCACAGATGTATAAAAGGAAGTAACAGAAATGTGGTTCTACAGAAGGATGCTGAGAATACCATGAACCAACATTGGAACTCCCTTCCTATTACTTGCTTCCCTGATAACTACAATCTTCAAAAATTTAAATGTAATGTCAATTGTCATCTTCTGATGCCTTGATCCTTGTTCTTCTTTTTATCCTTTCCTCAATCCCTTCTATACCCAGTATTTTCCCTAACTTTCACTCTCTGTAACCTGTTGCATACTAGTGGCACTCTTGCGTTGCTTGGGGTGAAATGCTTAAAAAAAAAAAACTGAACATGTGAGTAATGACAAAGTTTTAGAAAAAATGGAAACAAAACAAACACTTATACTTAACATCAAAAAGAGATATTTGAAATTACTAGTACATGAGGAAAGAAGGCTTGGAAAATTTGATACAGGACAGATTGTAGGCAAGAGGGATAAAGGAAAACAATGCATAACCTACCTAGTGAGTTTGTGTAAATGGATGACAGAAGAGGGTTTAGGAGAAATAACAAAAAGAAAAAATTTATTAAGCACAAAAAAGGGCAGGAAATTGTGGAGAGCCGTGATCGCCAATGTCTTGAAGGAACATGGCACATAGAAAAATAAGATGGCTGAATGAAACAGACACTGAAGATACTAATTTCCTTGGTTTCAAACCATATTATATTAGCATCACTTCTCAGAAAAAATGAGACCATACAAATGTCCAATGTCATATACCAATTTAAGTGTCTACTAGGAGACTTTGCTTCCAAGCATAACCAAAAAGCAGAAAAAAAGAACACTTTGTAATTTCTAAAGAAATAATGGATTCTATTTTTTAATTTGACATAGTTTTATTGCTTCAAACATAATTTTTAGTGGATGCCTGTATTTGAATAGATGCTCCATTTATATAAAAAGTATTTATTTCATTTAGTGGCCTCGAGGGTACATTTTCTTTATTAAGTTTTCTAGATTACACAGGCCGATAGACAAAATAAATACTGTTTAAAATAAATGGAGCATTTACTCAAATACTGGTATCCACTAAAATACCCCTTGAAGTAATAAAAACGAGGTACATACCAAAAGTTTTGAGAATTTGGGGCAAGAGACATTAATCTATTCCGAAACAATACAAACCCTCTAATCCCTTTCAAAGTGGGACCCTCAAACTTCAATGCTCTTGTAGCAGACATGCCACTTCTTGGGGACACCTTGTAATCTTCCAAAGTGAAGGTTTCCAGGTTTCTCTTCACAGCTTCTTTCATTTTCTCCACATCTACAAAATGTCATTCCACAAGCAGTCTTGATCATTTCATAGGTTTCTGCGGCATTTTTGCCAAGCTTAACACAAATCTTTCTTATATAGCAAGCCTTCAAGTTGGTCTCATTTTCTGTGACACAGAAATTCAAACATAGCATTGGAATAGCAAAAGATGTATTTCAAAAGCTAAGCAAAGTATTAAGAAACAAAAAAATATCATTAGAAACAGGGAAAACAGAAGACAGCTGAGAATGCGATGGATGGAGCATTTGAGCAATGAGGAAGTTTTACGGAAAATGGAAACAAAAAGGACACTTATACTTAGTATCAGAAAGAGACAAGCATCAGAGATGTGGTTCTACAGAAGGATGCTGAGAATACCATAGATGAAGCATTTGAGCAATGAGGAAGTTTTAAGTAAAATGGAAACAAAAAGAACACTTCTACCTATAATCAGAAAGAGACAAGCATCAGAGATGTGGTTCTACAGAAGGATGCTGAGAATACCATAGATGAAGCATTTGAACAATGAGGAAGTTTTAAGTAAAATGGAAACAAAAAGGACACTTATATTTAGAATCAGAAAGAGATAGTTGACATTTCTGGGATACAGAATGAGGAAAGAGGGCAAAGATAGGAAACACATCATTGCTCAGTTCTGTCCAGGAAGTACAGAATTTCTGATCTTATTAATAAGTGTGGATTTTACAAGTATGTAAGATGTATACTGATAAAAAAAAGTAAAATAAATGTAACCAAATATAGATAGATAGCTAGATAGATAGGTCAATAGATAGATAGATAGAAGATTAGCATAAGATAGATAGATAGATAGATAGATAGATAGATAGATAGATAGATAGATAGATAGATAGATAGATAGATAGATAGATAGATAGATTATGGACAGACTAAACAGAAACAGGTTATCAACAGACAGATAATGAAGAGAATGAGAGATAGATAGATAGATAGATAGATAGATAGATAGATAGATAGACCGACAGACAGATAGATAGATAGATAGATAGATAGATAGATAATAGATAGATAGATAGATAGATAGATTATGGACAGGCTAAATAGGAAAAGGTTATCAACAGATAGATAGATAGATAGATAGATAGATAGATAGATAGATTATGGACAGACTAAACAGAAACAGGTTATCAACAGACAGATAATGAAGAGAATGATAGATAGATAGACAGACAGACAGACAGACAAAGGGATAGATAGATAGATAGATAGATAGATAGATAGATAGATAGATTATAGACAGGCTAAATAGGAAAAGGTTATCAACAGATAGATAGATAGATATAAACAGACTGAGATAATTTTTGTGTGTTTTCTTTTTCATTGATGATAAATTTTTGGTAAATTTTATGCTGCACGAAAGGCACTTGAAAGGATTAGCTCTTTCACAGAAAAACTTCTTTTTTTTTATTGATTTACTTATTTTTCTGCAAAACAGAATTACTTTCGTGTGGAATTGCTTGTTTTTGGGACCATCACTTTAGGGAAAAATGGTGCACTTAGTTTAAAAGCCACATTCAACTAAAAGTCGTGTTGTCTTACATTTTGCACTTGTATTAAGTAAGTATTACAGTAAGTATTAGCTCTGCAAATAAATAAATCATTTTGTCACAGGATTTCTTTCAACACCATATCTTACCTAGAGGTTTTTTTTTTCATTATTTAATATATTTTTATTTAATGTGTTTCACCTAAAAAGCAGATGTGCAGAATTGGCTGAGGGGTTAGAATTATGAAGAATGGCACTAGTTAAACAAGTTCAAACCCCAGCTAGGATAGTTTATGTTCATTTCACACTGATTTCCTTGGGAAAGGCCTGAATCTTTCACTACCCATAGATCAGTCAGTAGGCAAATTACTGAGAGGTGAGGGAGACATTGTCCTGAGAAATATCCGGAAGGATTCAGTATGGTAACACAATAATTTAAAATGTTACCATTTTTTGCTCTGTTAAGATAGTTTTACTTTACTGAGTCGGTAAATGTTTGCCTTTTGATTTTTCTTTCTTTTTTCTTTCCTTGTTTGGGATTTTTTCTTTTAGGTCATCTGGCAAGTTGTCTGTGGGGTCACACCAACAAAGTTGGTTCTTCTTTAATCTATCTATCTATCTATCTATCTATCTATCTATCTATCTATCTCTCTCTCTCTCTCTCTATATATATATATATATATATATATATATATAGATAGATATGTGTGTGTGTGTTTGTGTTTGTGTGTTGTATTCAGGAAGCACTCCTTCTTTCATGCACATTTCATTGAATACGACAGACAAGGTGCTTTTATTTATTTTCTTATACAATTTCTCATGCGGTCTAATAATTTTTTCTTTTTGGATGATAAATTATATAAAAACTGTCGAATAAAAAGATATTCAGACAGTTTTTATATAATTTATCATCTGAAAAGAAAAAAATTATTAAATCGCATGAAAATTGTATAAAAACTAAATAAAAGCATCTTGTCTATTGTATTCAATGAAAATGTGCATATATATATATATATATATATATATATATATATATATGGGAAAAATTTCACCTTTCTTTAAACATAAACAAAACTCAAAAGAAAATAATTAATTTAAAATTTTAGCATCCCATCTCCTTTGTGTGCATGTGCAGGCACATCAACGTAAGCATCACTTTAGTCTGATGACGTCCTAAATGACAAAACATTGTACAAAAATTTTTTACACTTTATCATAGATTTCACTAAAATATTTATATATGTATGTGTGTATATATATGTGTGTGTGTGTGTATTTTTATATGAAATACTTCAATATATATATATATATATATATATATATATATATATACTAAGAAAATTGTAAGATAAAATGGAAAAAGTTTACTTATGACACATTTCATCAGACTGGGTTTGTTTACAATAAATCACCATTCTTGGCAGATTTTCTGTTATCACAATGTAGGATAGTTAAAAACTAATATGATGCAAAGAAAAGAAATATATATATATATATATATATAGATAAATGAAGGATTTGAAACCACCAGAAGCTCTCATTCATGTGCATGTATAGTCATAGCAATGTCAACAAACCCAGTCCGATGAAGAAGGCCTCATGGATGAAAGACATCACAAGTAAAATTTTTCCACTTTGTCTTACAATTTCCTTAATACTGTTCTTGATATATAAATATATATATCCTTATCTCATTCATATATATATATATATATTATTTAAAGACATTTTTATGTTTAACATTCTTTTTATAGATACAAGTATTAAAGTAAATGCTATGTTTATAATAAACAGTATTAAATAACATTTGCTGGCCTGAATGTCTGAGAAATTTTCATAGAAAATATTTGCCCTCCGACAGGATTCAAACCTGTATCCTATACGGAACCGTCATATAGCCTGACGTGCCTTACCGCTCAGCCACAAAGGATTGTTCGGTTGGCAAGGTTGAATTTAGTGCTTATAAACTTCAACTTTCCATGAATCTCTCATGTACATTCATAACTGCTCATGGCGTATCAAATGTAAACAAATGACATCGCACATTATGAAATGGACAAAGTCTGACAATTATTTTATATATATATATATGTGTGTGTGTGTGTGTGTTAACTATAGCTTTAAGCAATTATTTTTTAATCTGTCATCATCTGTCCTGGAAAGGGATATCTTTGATCAAAGTAGCTAAGTGGTTTTGGCTACTGTAACCAAGTAGTATACAGTAGCAGTAATAGACTGGTACTCGTCGTAGTCACAGGTAATAGGTGTAGACCAATAGAATAGCCAATGGCGTAGTCCAATGGGTATCGTCATAGACTTAAACTCTGTCATACCTACATGTCTGTCTGTATTTATTTGATACTGTTTTTTTTTAAGTTTTACTTTATTCAAAAGGCTAATATATAATAAATATCATGAAACTTATTGCCAATTTTGTTATCATTTTGTTGGCTTTTTATCCTTCAAATTTCATTAAATGGACTATTATATCTACACACACACACACAGAGACACACTCGCAACCACACACACACATATGTGTGTGTGTGTGTGTCTGTGAGCGTGTTATTTTTTTGAAAGATAATTATGTAGCATTCTTTGTAGTTTTTTGAAATAAGCATTAAAATAGTCATTTTAAAAGTAGCCCCAGAAGAGACCATCAGGTCAAAACCATGGTCGCATATTTTAATTGGCCTGATTTTTAAAGTAAACATATATATATATATATATATATATATATATATATATATATTTTATGCAGTGTTACATTAGAACATGCACATATCCACTACAAAATTGTACATTTTTTTCGATGTCCAAAAGGTAAAACCTTTTTAGATGTCTCATCAGGTCCTAATAAGACGTCTAAAAAAGGTTTTCCCTTTGACGTTTAAACAAAATGTACAATTTTGTAGTGGATATGTGCATGCTCTAATGTAACACTGCATAAGATAAATAAATATTTAAAACTCTACTTTATGCAATGAGCACTATTTTTAAATTAATGTTTTGAATGCTGTAATCCTACTGTTCATTCTCCTACACTTGTGTGTGTATATATATATATATATATATATATATATATATATATATATATATATATATATACAACAGCAAGTATTGCTGGTAATAAAACATTGCTCAATGTATCAAGATGAAATTTATATTAATAATACATATATGCTTTGTTCCTTACCATTAGCTACAACTCTCTCTTTATCTCTCTCTCTCTATCTCTCTCATTCACTCCTTCTTTCTCTCTTGCATTTTCTCTCTCACACTGTATCCTTCACTCTTTCTCTCTCTCACTCTCTCCCTTTCTCTCTCTCACTCTCTCCCTTTCTCTCTCTCCCATTTTCTCCCCCTTTATCTCTCTCAGCTTCTCTCCATTTCTTTTTTCACTCTCTCTCTCTCTCTCTCTCTCTCATTCCTCCTTCTTTCTCTCTTGCATTTTATCTCTCACACTGTATCCACTCTTTCTCTCTCTCACTCTCTCCCTTTCTCTCTCTCCCATTCTCTCCCCCTTTATCTCTATCACCCTCTCTCCATTTCTTTTTTCACTCTCTCTCTCTCTCTCTCTCTCTCTCTCTCTCTCTCATTCACTCCTTCTTTCTCTCTTGCATTTTATCTCTCACACTGTATCCTTCACTCTTTCTCTCTCTCACTCTCTCCCTTTTTCTCTCTCCCTTTATCTCTCTCACCCTCTCTCCATTTCTTTTTTCTCTCTCTCTCTCTCTCTCTCTCTATATATATATATATATATATATATATATATATATATGTGTCTCTCTGTTGTCATTATTATCTTTCCACCATTTAAAAAAAAGTTTTGGGAGGGAGAAAGCATCTTCCTAGGGTGATGATGAAATCTGTTCTGATATTGTCACAGTACTCCATATGTGGTAATCGAAGGATCCCAGTTTTTTTTATTTCCCATCAAGCTTCCACACACAGCTTGATCGACTTCATCAAAGGATATTCAAAGTCGTTAACTCCTTCATGAAACCCCAGGAGTATGGGTTTTTTTTTTTATTTTTTTTAGATTTTATTTTCTTTGTTATCATTCGTGAATGAGTTCTGTGCCTTCTTCATCCTGTTTTCATTTTCTTCTCTTAGTGTTTAAAGAGGATCAGCAAAGAACCTTTTACCCCCATTTCTACTTTTAAAACTGCTTACTTTCTCCTACCCAACCATCTTTTAAATATTTTCATTTTTTTCCCTTCTTATAAATTTTGTTGTCATTGAGAAATTACCTGTATAGGAAATATGTTAAAAGCTTTATTGGAGATGCTACCCACATTGTTTTCCTTGTCCTGATAATATTTTTTTTATACATGTTTTTAAATGTTTTATTTACTTATTTTTTTTTACTGGTTCTGATGCCTCAATCATGAAGTCTCCCAGGGTGGCTAATATTAACCCCCAACAAAACCAAAGGAAGAATCGAAAGAAAAAAAATATTGCAAAAATAAATTAAAAAATCTAACTACAGATTCATTCTTTCATTTTTCTTTATTTTTACAATTTTTACTTTTTTGTACATTTTTTATGTTTTTTTTTTTATTTTATTTTTTTATCATCTTTGTACATTTTTCATTTCTCATTTTTGGCTTCAGTCACTTGATGAGAAGAAATTCTTCACAAATTTCTCGTCATGTAGAGAGTGATTATGTGGTCTGAAAATATTTACAGACAATGCACACTGCCCAAGACATCTTTGATTAAGTTCTTGTTTCATTTTTGCTTCTGTTATTTTGTCAGTCATTTTGACGGATTTATTTAGCAAGTTTAATTTCCATGACTGAGAAAGAAAAATGTCTCACTAGCATAATCCT